GAATTGCTAGACAAGGGGTTTATTCGACCTAGCATCTCACCTTGGGGTGCACCGGTTTTGTTTGTCAAGAAGAAAGATGGCTCCATGAGAATGTGCATTGACTACCGGAGGTTGAATAAAGCAACAGTGAAGAATCGTTATCCCCTTCCAAGAATAGATGATTTGTTTGATCAATTGCAGGGTGCATCAGTCTTTTCTAAGATTGATTTGAGGTCTGGATACCATCAATTGAAAGTGGCAGATGGAGCAACCTCAAAGACAGCTTTTAGAACAAGATATGGGCATTATGAGTTCCTGGTAATGCCTTTTGGACTCACTAATGCACCAGCGGAATTTATGGCTCTTATGAACAGAGTTTTCCATGAATATCTTGATAAGTTTGTGATTGTGTTCATAGATGATATTCTCATCTATTCTAAAAGCGAGGAGGAACACAAAACTCACCTTAGAATTATGTTGCAAATTCTAAGGGAGAAACAATTATATGCAAAATTCTCAAAATGTGAGTTTTGGCTGAAGGAGGTAATATTTCTGGGACATGTAATTTCTGGAAGAGGTGTCGAGGTGGATTCGAAAAAGGTGGAAGCAGTGGTGAGTTGGGCTCCACCAAAAGATGTGTCCGAGTTGAGAAGTTTTCTTGGCATGGCGGGTCACTATCGGCGGTTTGTCGAAGGATTTTCTAAAATTGCTGCACCATTGACTAAACTGTTGAGGAAGAATACCAAGTATGTTTGGAATGAATCATGTCAAAAGAGTTTTGATGAACTGAAGAAGAAATTGACCACAGCACCAGTACTGGCTTTACCTTCAAACCATGGAGAGTTTGTGGTGTATAGTGATGCCTCATATCAAGGACTGGGTTGTGTGCTAATGCAAGATGGAAGAGTTATCGCATATGCCTCTAGGCAATTGCGTCCTTATGAAGTAAATTATCCCACTCATGACTTAGAATTGGCAGCGGTGGTATTTGCTCTCAAGATTTGGCGACATTATTTGTATGGTGAGACTTTTAAAATCATAACTGATCACAAAAGCTTGAAGTATATTATGGATCAGAAGGATTTAAATAGTCGCCAGAGGAGATGGATAGAGTTGTTGAAAGATTATGATTGTACCATTGATTACCATCCAGGTAAAGCTAATGTAGTTGCTGATGCTCTGAGCAGAAAGGGGAAGAAGAATATAAATGATCTGGTTGATTTGAGGGCAATGAATGTGGATTTGGAAGTGGATGGTGTAACAGGGTTACTAGCTCGGTTGAACATTCGACCTTTGTTGCATGAAAAAATTCATGAGAAGCAGAAGGAGGACCCAGAGTTGGCAAAAATCATTCAAGATATTGAGGAAGAAAAAGAAAGCCCATTTGAAATGGTAGATGGCATGTTGAAGATGAATGGAAGAGCATGTGTTCCTAATGTTGATAATTTGAGGAAAGAGATCCTAGATGAAGCTCATTCTTCTGCTTATGCTATGCACCCAGGAGCAACTAAAATGTATCACACGATCAAACCATATTGTTGGTGGCGTGGGATGAAAAAGGAAGCGGCTGAACATGTTTTCACATGTCTGGTATGTCAGAAAGTTAAGGCAGAACATCAAGCTCCTGTAGGAAAACTGCAACCACTTCCAATTCCAGAATGGAAGTGGGAAAGAATCAAAATGGATTTTGTATATGGTCTTCCATCATCAAGGGGGAAAGATGCGATATGGGTTATTGTGGACCGACTAACCAAATCGACTCACTTTTTACCCATTAGATGGAAACCATCACTAGAGACTTTGTCTCAACTATATATTAAGGAGATCATCAGCAGCAGCAGTAGATAATGTTAGGTGGGAGAGGAGCTAGAGTTGAAGCCAGGATGAGGTATGGTCTTCAACTATTCTGTGCTTGGACTACTACTCGGAATTTTGGCCAGTGATCCACACCTTTTTGTAAAAATGTTTTGAGAACGTTTTTCATGTGCATACTAGCTTCTGATCTAGTGTGAGATATCCACAGGTGTGGAAAGTTGATGATATGTGTATATGTTGTGTAATTGTGTAAGTTATGACGATTATGGCTTGTATCAGTATGGTATGCAGTTGTATAGTATGAAATTGTGACTATGGCTATGAAAAGCCAATGCATATGGTTGTGAGTATATATGTTTGTGATGAATTATTTTGCAGAACAAGTTGCAAGAACTGTTAGCCCATTACGCGAGTAATTCATGTCGAAATTTTATTTAGGTAAATTTTGATAATTAATGTAACACCAGTTTTAAATTCCGCTGCAATTGTATGAACAATATGCAATGGGAGGAATCATCCTAATTTGCATTTTACTTCAGCTTATCATCCTCAAACAGATGGGCAGAGTGAACGAACCATCCTAACTTTGGAGGAATTACTTCGATCATGTGTAATGCAATGGGAGGAATCATGGATTGACCATTTGCCCTGGATTGAGTTTGCTTACAACAATCAGTACCATAGTAGTTTGGGTGTTCCACCATATGAAGCACTTTATGGGCCATTATGTTGGGATGTAGAAGGAGCAAGGCAAATCTCAGGGCCATAGATAGTTCAGATCACAGTTGATAAGGTCAAGGAAATCAGTGAGCGTATGACGGTGGCTCAAGATCGACAGAAAGTTTATGTTGACACGAATAGGCGTGAAGTTAATTTCGAGGTGGGTGAGAAAGTATTTCTCAAAGTATCACCATGGAAAGGGGTGATGAGATTTGGTAAGAAAGGAAAGCTTGCACCTCGATATATTGGACCATATGAAATCACAGAGAAGATTGGACCAGTGGCATATAAACTAGCATTGCCTCCAGAGCTATCTCAAATCCACAATGTATTTCATGTTAAGCGGCCGGTCCATTTTCTTTCCCTTCATCATCGTTTTATTCTTTCTATTTCGGACCGAGAGAGAAGCAGAGTGAGCGAATGCAGGGGAGCGACTGGGGAGAATTTCCAAAGCTCAAATCTTGAGCTCTAGTGATCCAAAAATCCCGTAAGTAATGCCTAATTCATCTATACATCGTGATTTATCGATTTAGAGCTTTAAAACGAGTTTTTGGTTCAGGAATTTCTTGAATTCCCGATAAGCCAAATTAGGGTTTCGGAGTATCCGGAAGCCGGATTATGCCCAAATTTCATATACGAGCTTCCTGCAGCGAGGTAATCAATCCTCTATTTCTAATCCCAGAATTTCGGCTATTATTTAGGCAGGGGTCCAAACCGCTGAATTTAGCTCCGGCCAGGGTTTGATGTGTTTTTACCAAGAATTTGACCCGGAGCCTAGAACTAATATTGACGGGGATACTGCAGGGGATATTAGGACGGTCTCGGATTTTAATACGGGGTTCGTTCGTGAAATTGACGTTTTAGTACGGGAGGCTAGAACCGGTGTTTGAACGGCCAAAACTGGTGAGGGATTAGCACGGCATACCGGGTTTGTCGTATCACAATAATTATATTGTTGCTTAGAATTGACCTAGGTGAATTAGAATGGCATGATTAGGGGTGTATGGACTTTTTTGCTATATGATGAACTATAGGCTTCTGTATGATATTATTGACTTGCCCTACTCGATATGGACCTTGTTTATGTTGATAATTCCATATATGTTGCCAGATGTGGGTTTAATTGTGAATATGCCTTATGATGGTTCGAGAAGGTGATTGGATATGATTTTTCATGATTGTTATATTTGGATGCACAAGTGGGAAAATATATATTCCCTGGTAATATTATGATGTTTTAAGGAGGATGACTTGCACGAGGGTGTATCCCGAGGAAGTGCAATTATACGACTCCTGATTTACCTATGTTGAGCCAATTGTGGCCTGGTCAAATACATGTGCAAGTAACGAATTATGATTAAGCAAGATGAGATATGAATCATGTATAAGGATACCGAATATGAGTGGTGTGGTCTCACGGTCAACTACATAGTAATTAGGGCTCCCTATGCTATTACTCTATTATGATATGTATGATAGTCACACCTCTCATATAGTGGTGACTGAAGAATTTTTATGAGATATGACCACACCCAGAGCGGTGTCGGGGTATGACTACACCCATAGTGGTGTGGGGTATGTATGACCACATCCGACGGGATGTTGGGGTATGTATGACTACATCCGACGGGATGTGGGGTATGTTTCCCGGGAGTGTTATTAGCATGGGAGTAGCCAGGCGCCTATGATTAAAACATGATAAGATGCATATGCATAAGTCAAGGTGGTTGAGTCTTTTGCCTATTGGGATGTCGGAGGGCTGAGATCTGATCCCAGTGCTTTGGCTTGTTTGCTAGATGTATGGTAGGGGTATGCTCTGTTATGAACTCACGATGCTATGATTATCTCACTCAGCTATGAGCTGACCCTCTTTTATTTCTTCTTCTCTGCTTATGCTATGTGTAAGCAGATCATCAGCAGCAGCAGTAGATAATGTTAGGTGGGAGAGGAGCTAGAGTTGAAGCCAGGATGAGGTATGGTCTTCAACTATTCTGTGCTTGGACTACTACTCGGAATTTTGGCCAGTGATCCACACCTTTTTGTAAAAATGTTTTGAGAACGTTTTTCATGTGCATACTAGCTTCTGATTTAGTGTGAGATATCCACAGGTGTGGAAAGTTGATGATATGTGTATATGTTGTGTAATTGTGTAAGTTATGACGATTATGGCTTGTATCAGTATGGTATGCAGTTGTATAGTATGAAATTGTGACTATGGCTATGAAAAGCCAATGCATATGGTTGTGAGTATATATGTTTGTGATGAATTATTTTGCAGAACAAGTTGCAAGAATTGTTAGCCCATTACGCGAGTAATTCATGTCGAAATTTTATTTAGGTATATTTTGATAATTAATGTAACACCAGTTTTAAATTCCGCTGCAATTGTATGAACAATATGATTAGGTAATACGTACAGGGTAGGGTGTTACATCTTTCATTCCTCAAATTCTAGAACCCTAAAATTTCTCCTTGAACTTGAAAGAACGAACTCTCACCCAAATGGCGCCGTCGAGAACCGATTGTCCAACGCTGTTGGCGGGAAATGCCCTTTGATTCTGTCTGATCGTGCTCTCCGATTCCGCCTGTTATCCGTCGCATCTCCTTCCCCTGTCGATTCTCAATTCTTCTTTCCGTCCATGAGCTCAAGACTTCCCTGTAAGTATTTCTTCAATGTTTCCGTAACTACATGCCATTCAGGTTGTGATGTGTTCATTTTCGACTATTGCAGAAGGTCAATTGGAGTTGTGGGCGACAAATTCAAGCATTAAGGCACAAATTTTGGAGGGCATGTACGACGTGAAAAACTAGGTATTCCTGGATGAGTGCAGTGTTATAAATCGCAAATTTAACCCCGCTGCTTGCCTCCATTCTGTTTCAGATCTCGTCGTCGACCAATGACTCCATTCTTGTTCCTAGAACTCCTTCCCCATGCCCTGAAGCTCTCTGCCTCGATCTCCTTGAACGCTCTGCAGCTGCAAACCGTAGTGTTCCCTACTTTCTCCTTGTCGGTTGCAGCTGTTTGGTGAGTGTGTTACTCAAACTGGAGTTACCCAGTACCCACTTCCATCTCTTTGTTTATTTTTATCAATTACCATTGATTTTCCTTCATGCCTTTTTGGCTTTGCGTGGGTGTTTATAGAGAAAGGAAGGGAGGGGAAGTTGTGAAAAGTCAATATAAAACTTTGTTCTTCAATTGAGCTTTTCTCTTGGCCATGTATAGCTGCGTAGATAAGGTTTAATTGTTGCATCCTCTGTCTCTCACAGCAACACGTTTATGTTTAGTGATAACGCCGTATTTGCACATGTTTGCCCCTTGTTTATTGATCATTTTGGCTTGAGTTTTTTATTTCTTGGATTATTTTACACTAGGTTGTGTTCATTTGGCACATTTCAGGTCCTAGCATGTAAAGTGAAGCCTAGGCGCAAGTTTCAAGTCAATAGGAGATCAATTGGCGACTCGGGGTGAGAAACTTGGGAATGACTTAAGAAAGAATGGATTTATACCTCATTTATTGACAAAGAATCATGAAATCTTTCTATGAAAAGAAAGAGGACAAGACTACGAGCATCTGGGATCAAACGACACCTGAATCGGAGCTCAAACGAGATCAACGAAACTTAGGAGTGCATGTTGGAAATTGTGCACGGCCGTGTGGGTTTCTGATAGAAAGACAATTTCCGGGTTTATTCATAATTATCATAATTACTATAATTAGGATATTATTATATATGGTTAGTAGTATTTGGGTCATAATAGGATAGTCTATTAGGTTTTTCCAGTCGTTTGCTATAAATATGTACTTTCGGTCTTTTGTTCGATTAAGTAGAAATTAATAGAAAAGTCATCCTTCCCCGAAACCCTAATCTCTTTCTCTCTCAAATCTCGAGGCTTCGGCTGTTCTTTCTGTTCTTCCCCAATTCTTTTCCTAATCCCCAATTCTCTTTTAAATCCCTAATTCTATCTCTAAATCCCTAAATTCTCAATTTCCCAACCCAACCGATAGAACCCTAGAAACAGGTTTCTATCATTTGGTATAAGAGCCATGGTCACGAATCTAATTTCATCAGAACTCATCTACCGCATACAAGTAAGATGCGCGCAAGCAATGAAAGTCTTAGAGAAAAGCATACAAGCTGCCGAGAAGAGAGACGAGGAGTGGCGGCTGTTGATGGAGAAATTGAAACGACCCCTAACCTCACCTCAGCGAGTCAAGCCACCAACCACCACTGCTGCGAGCTCACCCCCACCACCCGCGATGAAAATCCCCGCCATAATTGTTTCCGCTGCCGCCGAAGAAAAAGATCAGGCGGCCACAACCATGCCACCACCTGCGAAAGACAAGGCAATGAAGCCTGCAAACTCAGACATCATCACCGCCGAGCAGCCAATCACCGCCAATCATCGTCACCGAAGCAACAGCAGAAAGCACGTAGCTCGAGGAACCTACACCTACTGTCGTGCCGCTGACCGCTGCGGCTAGAAAAGAAGGGTCCCTGGCTGCGACAAGTGATTCGGACCTCATCGACGAGGCCGACAAAGGGGTGGAAACCACCGTTGAAGGGAGCAAATCGAAACCTGTGCGGGAGCAACAACAGAGGACGACTTTGATTGCGGCGGAGACGTGCAGGTCGGAGAAGGACGTGGCGCGTCAAACAAGAAGAGGAAGGTCCGCGTCAACCGCGAACGACGATGGAAGCGATCTCCAGCGATGGAACCATCTTTGGGGTGTCGGGGTCTGTCATCGAAGCTGCAAATTTCGACAAGGAAGCAGCGATTGAGGGCGGCTGACGTCGCGCCGCCGATCGGCAAGGAGAGAACGGCGAAGGATGGCTCGCCAAAATCACCAATCGAGCAAGTAGATCGGCGATCGGCTGTGGGTCTCCGAATGGTTACGACGGAACGAGAAGAGGAGAAGTTGGCATCTACCAACGCGGAGGCAGAGAGCACCACGAACAGGGAACCACCGTCGCTAGCTACCTCGATCGCCGCAAGAGGTCGGGAAAACCGCCAGTTACTGGCGGATCTCTGCAACGTCGGATAAAACAAGGCTGAGGAGGAGGACGAGTCAAAGGAGATGACGACGGGGGCGCGCCGCCTTCGGAGCAGTTCACTGCGAAGGGAGAAGCTCTCGATGGTCGAGTGGAAGAACGAGGCCGGCGGCGGGTTCCTAAGTCTTCTTCCCTTCCCCAAAGGACACAAAAGCGGCTACAGAGGGCTAGAGCCTAAGCCCATTAGGATTTGGGATGGGCTCGTGTTTGGCCAACCGAACCAGTGGAACCTACATCAAAGCCACTTGGAGAAGAATGGACCACGAGAGGGCTTGTCTTCACCAACGAGCACATGGCAGAATTAGTGGAGCACTCCATTAAAAATTTAAAGGTGGTTAAGGATGATGGGCTCAAGAAAAAACAACTATGTGATTCTTACAGTATGGAGTTTGAAAAGGAGGGTGATCATGGGGTTAACAAGGGCCACGTGGTTATAGAAGAAGCCATGGGAGTCGGAATTGCAGCATTGGGGGCCAGAGTTGCTGGAGTAGGATTCGATCGAGTGGTGGAGTACAATTGGAAGAAAAAGCGCAAGAAGTGGAGGAGATAATGCGCGATCTACATGGGTGATAGGTTGGAGAAATGGGTCGAGTCGGTCAACCTTGAGGACAAGGATGGTTTGAAGGGGGAGGGGATGATAGAAACCCAATTTTTGGGTTTATTCGTAATTATAATAATTACTATAATTAGGATATTATTATATATGGTTAGTAGTATTTGAGTCATAATAGGATAGTCTATTAGGCTTTTGATGCTCTAAAACACAACACCAATCTGCGACCAAGTGTAATTGCAGACCGGGAATGCAGTAAAGTGACAAGTGATATTATCAACCCGGGGTCTAGATCTACTGCTTACTCAGTGATTATCTATTATCTAGCCAACTAAAGTAAGTGATTGTTGTTTAAAAGCAAAAGCAGAAAGAAAGCACGAATTGGTACGGGTTTCTCAAGCAGATAAGAGTCACTCGGGAATGAGTCCCCCTAGCTCCTTAGTTAGTTTCGAATGCAATTACCCTGGGTTGATTTACTGTTGATTAGACTGCGGAAGATCCGACAGTAGCTTGGAATCTCTTAAGCTAACCAAGCCCTCTCAGTCTAACTACCCGGCAGACGACTAGTCTTCACCGGGATAGAAAGCTGAAGCAGTAAGAACAGAACTCCACTACTGGAATTGGATTCCAGTACAAAGCAGTAAACTGGCTAACTCTCGTATAGCCAATCTCCTACTACCGAATGATGAGACTCTAGCAACCTAATCAGATTCTATCTATCTCAGATTGCAGCAGGAATCAGGAAAAGTTGATCAGACTTTAATTGACTCAATAAACATGCATCATTCGATTCAAATCAAACAGTAATATCATCCCAAGTCATTACAATCAATCCCTAACACATAGAACTAGGGTTCTTCATCCCCAAGTGAGAGAGGGGTTCTACTCCATAGAGAGAGAGAGGAAAACAAGATACAAAGCAGTCATACTCATAACTATGGGAAGAATCTTCTCTGGGATGATGATTTCCACTCCTATGACGATCTCCAAGCTTGATTTGATGAAACCCATCTCCAAGATAGCTTCTAGGATGTGTTCTTCGTACTTTCTCTCTCTAGGGCTCTATTTTTGCTCAAAAAGTCCGATCTTCTCTCTTGCAGCCCGAAATTGGGTTAAAACCAGGAATTCCCGACTCACACGGGCTGGGCCACACGGCCGTGTGGCATACCCAGTTGCTCGTGTGAGTCAAAACGCGGCGTATCAATTAGTTCGATCTTCAGGCTTCCCTCACGGCCAGGGTTGCACGGCCGTGTGGGAATTCCATCCTGCCCGTGTTTGCTCTCCCATAATTCCACACGGCCAAACCACTCTTTCACACGGCCGTGTGGATGTCAGGGCAAGCTGTGTGAAGGCTCGCACAATCACACACGGCCAAAGTGGTCACTTGCACGGCCGTGTGAGTTGTGGGTGTGGCCGTGTGGCCTCCTTTTTGACTTGCCTCGCGCCCGATCTTCGTCCAATCGACCCCGAACTCGCTCCTAAACCTTCATTCACTTGCTAGGACCTGAAATATCACAAACAAACACAACCTAGCGTGAAATCGGCCTAAAACACGAGAATTACCATCTCAAACGGCTCCAGAATAGGGGTTAAAACATGTGCAATTAACGACTTATCAGCTTGTCCCCAAGAAAACCAAGTCAGACACAAGGTAAGCTCACATATTTCAATCAACCAACATTGGGGACAAATCATATAGGCACAGAACACGTGAATCGTACTGGTTTTCAAACATCAACACCTGACCAACTTCAATAGCAACCTGGACAACCACCACAAAGGACATTCGAGTGCACCGAAATCGAGTAAAGGAAGAGTCTTCCTTCTGTTCACCAACCAACCTAGACTTGACTCAACCACTTACTCAAAACAGTCAACTCATGCATCCAACTCAAGACATCAGAATAGAGACCGAGCAATCTAGGTCCTCACCGGGGTACAAAAGTATATAGAATATGAAAATGAATCACTCACTCTCGACCAGTGGGGTCAGGACAATTTGATGCGAAAAATGTGCATATTATTTCTCTCAATCCCTAACATCTCTTCACCATGATGGCAGCCTCTAAATGCTAGAGTTCACATATGGGGCGTCACCACTAACTAATCAGGAGGTCTTAGACACAGGTTCAAATGACTGGCTAGGGTCTTGGACATGGGGAAAAGGCCTTTTAGGTGGTGGAAGTATTCATAGCACAAGGTTCCACATTTCCAAACCCACACAATCACAGTCAAACAAACCGGTATTTCCTTTCTGCTATTCTGCATTACTCAATATCTCAAGAGCACAAGAGCGAAGGAGGTATAAATGTCAGCATTTCCAAGCCAGACTGCTAAGAAACACTACTTACTGGGCATTATTCAGATTT